TATAACATTATTTTCTTCTTCTACCCGTAGAAAAAAAAAATATATATATATATATATAATATAACATTACATACTTAACAACTAGCATGTCTCTTTCTTCTCATCTCTGCCCTAGTTTCACTCTGCGCCTCTTCTACGCCTCTTTCTTCTTCTTCTTCTTCTTCTTCTTCTTCTTCTTCTTCTTCTTCTTCTCTCGAAATAGCAACGCTGCCGCCTGTCCTCAAATTTCCCTCTCTGCCCTCAAATTTCCACATCTCCCTCATTTCATCTCAGCTGCTGCCTACCCTCAAATTTCCACAGTGAGTTTTCATATTTGGAGCAACTCTATCTCAAAATAGCAACAAGGTAAGTTATGTTCGTCTATTTTTTTCTTTTGTTTTGTTTTTCTTCTTGCTTCCATTAGAAAATGTTCGGTGCACACACATTATCAAACCAGTTTCCTTAGAAGCACCAAGGACAATAAACATGGGATACTGTCTCTGTTTTTTTTTTTTTTTTATAGAAAAGGATTAAACAATGCTCACGACTTTGGTGTCTGAAGAAGCTAGCTTGCTTAACTTGTAGTCTACCAAAGTTAAACAATGCTCACGATGGGTTATTAACATAATTTAAATTTGTGGCAGTGTTAGTTTTTGCAAGTTTGCCTATGAGAAATGAGTACCTGAGGAAAATAAAGTTAGCCTATGGACTCCAAACCAAAAATCAATTTGTGGCAGTGTTAGTTTATTTGGCAGGCAACTAAATTATCAAGGCAACTAATTTTGATGGGTTATTAACATAATTTCAATTTGTGGCAACTAAACAATGCTCACGATGGTTTATTGCCTTTTCATGGTGAATATTTTCATTTGAGATGTTGTGCCCATATCCTTAACCTTGTTGTGCAAGATGGTTTGAAAAGTATTAATAAGTCAGTTAAGAAGATTCGAGATAGTGTTAAATACGTTAAAGGATCACAACAACGGAAACAAAAGTTTTTAGAATGTGTTAAGTTAGTATCGATGGGAAGCAACAAAGGATTGTCCCAGGATGTGGTTACTAGATGGAATTCAACTTATCTTATGCTTGAAAGTGCTCTCTTTATAGACGCATTTTTCAACATTTGGAATTGAGTGATTCTAACTATAAGAATTGTCCTCACTCTGATGAGTGGGAATGAGTTGAGAACATATCCAAGTTCTTGAAATTTTTCTATGATGCCACACTTTTATTTTCTGGCACAAGATATCCCACAGCAAGCTTGTATTTCCCAGCAATTATGGAATGTTATATAACCCTGAAAAATGTTGCCCAAGGTGAAGATGAGTACTTAAAGTCCATGGCTATGCATATGTGGCCCAAATTTTAGAAATATTGGTCACAATTCTGCACCATTTTAGGCATTGCACTTGTATTCAATCCACGGTATAAGACGCAGTTTATTGACTTTTGCTACAACAAAGCTTTTGGGCTTAACTCTAAGGAGTTGTTATCATTGCATGAGAAGTTGGAATCCCTTTTTGACGAGTATGCTTTGAAGCTTGATCATTCTGTCTCATCACCCACTTGCAAGAAAAAGGACAAGCGTAAAGCACCATATGGAATGGAAGTAGATGAGTCAGATTTGATGAAAGTAATATTTATTTTTCTTACATATTTACATTCTTGTACGTAGTAATATTTATCTTAGTTACTAAAATTTGAAGAAGTAGCCCTAATGGCTAGTGGTACTTGGTTAGAGTTTGATGTAAACCCATGAATGAACATTGAACTCTAATGTCAATGCAAACAACAAGGTCTGAAACGTTTGGCTTCTCTGACCGTGAGAGAACACCCCATGTTAGATTGGGACTAGATCTTGTAGAGGACTTAATTGTACATTTACTCATATGACGTATATTTACACTCAAGATATGAATTATCCAAAAGGTTTTGTTTTCAGTAGTTAAATATGTAAAAAAAAGACTTCCTTTTACGGTAGAACTTGAAAAAACACACTATCGATCATGCTCTACTTCTTTTTACTAATGTTTTATATATTTTTTTTTCAGGAATTTGATGATGTTTCCAGTTATTTGTTTTATGCTTCAAACCAACAATCACAGTTGGAATTGTATTTGGACGAGCCTAGAATAAAACGGAGTTATTAGTTGGATATTCTCTCCTATTGGAAGACAAATCAGTGCCGCTACCCAATTCTTGCTGCCATGGCCCGTGATTTATTATGCATTCCTGTATCAACAGTTGCTTCAGAGACTGCATTTAGTGTTGGCGGTCGTGTGCTTAATCAGTTCCGTAGCTCTCTTAAACATGTGACTGTTGAAGCAATTGTATGTACAAGGGATTGGTTGTATGGAAATGAAGGTATATTCTTCAAGTTCTTCATTGTTCTCTTAAATATTGTTACTCTCAGTCTCACAAATGCTAATCGGTAACTCTTTTTCCTAGATGGATTCAAAGTACTTAATGAAGAGGAGCTCATCAACAATGTGGTTGATCTGAAGAAAAAACTGTCAACCAAGCTTCTAACTCCGGATGCGCTTGAATTTGATTTTTATTATGGTTGTGTAATGTTTTTTTTTTTTTTTGCTTCATCTGAACTATGTGGTTTTAGGACTTTGTTATACAGGTTTCATTTCATGTGATGTTTTCTTTTGCATCATGGACTTCTTTTGCATCAATGTGGTTTTCTTTTGCATCAATGTGGTTGTGTAATGTTGTTGCTTCATCTGACTTTGGTACTTTGTTAAGACGTTTACAAAATAGACTGAAATCTACAATTTCGTGTCAATTTCGGTTCAACAGGTTTGTATCGTGTCTCGGGTTCGCGGGTCAATTCGTGTCGCATGTCACTTTCGGTTCGTGTCGTGTCAACCCGCAACCTGACCGTGTCGTGTTCGTGTCACGGATCGTGTACGGGTCACATGAAAAAAATCTGACACGGTACAAACACAACACGAACACGACACGCGACACGAATTGACACCCCTACTAATATCTAACGTAGGAGCACGTGGAGAGGTGTCCAAGGTTTTGATATAAAGTCAAACAGATGGACAGCCATGTCCAGATATTGGCATAGCCTCACCTATTTCAACGGCCACCGCTTGTCATTTTAGGCTTCAAAACACCAACGGAAAGACTCGCACTGCTCTCAATGCGGTGCCCACCGGCCGCCACTTGGAGATTCTGACAGCCCTTCACTACCAATGTCCAATTTTAGTCCTGAATCTGCTTCAATAGGCCTTGCATTGTTTCTGATAAATAATAAGGCTTTCATTTGATGTTTCCTTTCTTTTTTTTTTTTTCAAGCTGAAGATTTCTTCCGTCTTCATTAATGAGGAAAACTGCAACTCAAAACACTTAAAAGAGGGAAATTAACTGTACAACACTTGACATTACAAGAAGCTCTACGATGAGATTCAAAAACAAAACAAAACGAAAGATAATAATATGCTAAAGAAAACAAAGTTAGGATTGTTTGTTAGATTCCTTGAAAAAAACAAATCGCAGAGGCCGGAAGTTAATAAACACGCTCGGCAGGAACTTATACAAGTTTATTGCACGGGCGTGAGCCTTCACCCACAATATGCAGAATCATAGATATGGACATTATAAAGAATTATGACAAGAGTTTCTTCCATTCTTAGTCAAACAAAAAAAATAAAAATAAAAAGAGAGGAAGGAAAATCGAACAGACTCTGCCACTTCCATGAAGCACGAGACCAAAGGCCAAAGGGCATTCCATACAGTAGATGAAGAACAAGAGCATGTTCAACTATCTTCGCATTACACGAAGGCGCTCTCGTTTGCGAAAGCGCTCGAGCATGAATTGATCTGTTGCAGCTTGCCTTTGCGCTGCTGCACCAGCATCAGCGGTTGGCTCATGTTGTCTTGATCCGCCACCACCTTCATCCTGTGAACTTCTGTCCTTGTACAGCTCCGGATGCTCTGCAACCAACACACTTGCTATTGGTACAAATGGTAATGAACTTTCTGTTCCTAACACTATGTTTAGTTGGAGCGAGAGAAGACTGTTGTTTGGTTAAAGAGATGGAAGAAGGGAGAGTAGATGATAGTCTCCCTCATGGCCCATCATACTGAACCCTTCCATGCTGTGTATAATTAGACAAATAACTATCATTGATGATTTCAATCTCCCTTCCCCTTCGCCAAAAAGCTTTAAGGACTCCTATAAGCCTCTCCATCATTCACATTCCTCAACCCATCCATCTAACCAAGCTGAGCCTAAGGGAAAACCAATTGGCCCTCCAAACATAAAAGATGGCTTTCTTCTAAGCATAGTGGACAGTCAATGAGATTTCATAAATATCATTCTAAATATAGGGTCCCAACTCCAAGCATTAAATAAAAAAGTCACAGCCTTTACTTCTCTTCTTCCACCAACTACTAGCATAAGAACAATTGCAAAATATGAGGGAACCGATATGAGTTGTGCATCAAAGAAAGCAATCTAGTCATAATTACAAACAGCATGAAATGTGGAAAAGTAGGAAAAACAAAAAGGAAAGGAAATAGACCTCTTCGAAGTTTTTCAGCATAGTCCCTTCCGCGCTGGAAATAATCCGCAGTGTAACTGGAAGGAATGCTAAAGTCTGATTTGGCGCGGCCGGTGAGGCGCTTCTCTTGAAGAAGCTTCTTGGCGGCCTCAGTTTCCTCGATATTTCTCAACTTGTATCTGCAAATAATATCAAATCATTCAGATCATTATTTTTAGCTGCATTTTGTGAGGGTGGCAACTAGTCTACTCACTCAATGGGAAGCTGAACCTCGGCAATACCAGTAGTCCACTGAGTGGAGCTTTCTTCATATATATATATAAGAATTTGATTTTGGGTTTGGCTTCAAAATAAAATAGCAAAAGAATCACACAAATGACTGACTTTAAGGTGGTCAGGGATTTTGTATAACTCGTCTTCAGCACGCTTCAAATCGCTCTCAACTTGGTCTGTTTCATCAACTTTCCTGCCTCTCTTCTTTGCTAATTCTTGTTCCACATACTTCAACCTATTTTATTTATTTATTATGTTGAGTTATGTTATGTTTAACAAAGTTTTTAGCTTTATAACACAAATATAAATATATTATATATAAACATGTATAACAAAGAGAGAGAGAGAGAGAAAGAATCATACATATTGGGATCTTCAAGCATGACGGCAGTTTCCTGAGCGAAGGTATCTTGGAGAACGAGGTCGTCTTTGTCCTTGTCCTTGTCGACATCACAGCCGGATTCCGCTTGAGCAAGAAGAACAACAGACTCTCTCACTTTGTTGTTAAGGATCTTCTTCTCACCACCACCACCACCAGCAACCGCCGAATTCCCAGAGCCGTTGGTCACCGCCAGAATCCCTAATTTCCTCTGTCTCTGCTTCTGAAGCAATTTCACCTCCTCCAATGCCATTCTGTGCTTTTTCAACAAATCAATAAACAAAACCCAAGCCGAAATCTGTAATAATCTAACCTAAAGAAAAAGGAAAAGGACCTTCTTTCTTGTTCGTCTTGAGGTTCGTCGAAATGGTCGTCGTCCGAAGTGCTTCTCTTTCTGAAATTCTTTGTGCTCTTCTTCTTATTATTCAGCACTTCCTCCATTTTTTTTTTTTTTTGGTCGCTTTTCTCTTCTTCTTCAACTCTGTATCTTCCTTCCTCCTGAAATCCCCTCTCCCCTCCTTTGCCTGCTTTGCTTCCCATATCCCGATTCTCAAAACGCACTGTTTTGTTCTTCACTTTTGACCTTTCTCCTTTTTTGAGTTGGAAGAAAAAAAAAGCCAAATTCCCCTGATTTTTAGGAAACAAAAAAAGATTAATTTAAAAATTAATTGTAGTATTAAATAATGGTTTGTCCAATTTTACATCATATATATAATTATTTATAATAAAAATACATTTGATTGGATTTTTAAATTCAAATCCAACATCAATTCAATCTATATACATAGAAGTAGAAATATTTTTTTGATAAGTAGAAATATCATTCAATTTAAAAATCAAATCCAGTATTTTATGGTCTTTCGCTATTTAATTGAAATTAAATTGAATGATATTTTTGATAAGTAATATAATAGTCTTTCGCTATTTAAGGTCTTATGGTTTTAAATGTTTAAATCCGTGAACAAGTTCAAATCAGTATTTTATTTATAAAAAAAAGATAAAAAGATAAAGAGTTGTTTGAATCTTTGACATGACATTTAAACCATTAAAAATAAAAAAATTTATATCGTTTTTATGGTTTGAACCCCAATTTTACACTATTAAATCGATTCAGTTGAATTATTTAGATATTTGCATTTTTAGCCACCCCTATCGGTGGTGCTATAGGTTTGATTGTTTTTCATCAACTAATACTATAAATACATACTATATACATATATTTTAAATTTTAGTCGTCGTATATACCTAGAAGAATTTTTTTGCTGATAAAAAAAAAAAAAAGGACTTTATGAAGAAAGTTGAGACTTGAGAGCCCAGGACATGAACAACCCATTTACATAACCCATCAGCCACTGAATTTAAACCTCGTGGGAACCAACTAAAAGCAAAAGGCTGAAATTTATGCAGCAATCCACGAGCCACGTTTGGTTTGAGGATTCAAATTAATACGATTTTTAACTTTTTGATTTAAAATGTTGATTTACAAGGTGTGGTTAAAATCTTGAACTAAAACCATTAGAACTTTAGGAAGGAGTTAAGTTAAACGTAACATTAAAAATTCAAACCACTATTTACTTTTTACAATCCTGAACCAAGATTTTTAAACCAAAACAGTCCCCTTTTCAGATTTACCTACTTTGTTCTCAAGATTTTGAACTCATTTTTTATCGTGTTTTTGGCTGAAAAAATTTGAAGCCCTTGCGTTTTCTGCATTTTGAATACTTCTTTTCAATACACAACCAACCACGGTATCATATGCATATCCAAATGTTATTTTGAATTACAAGTTCAAATCACATTTTTCAAACTTTTCATTTCAAACTCTCACATTTTGAATCTGTTTACCAAACGAACCCTCAGATTAAGATGCCGTCCACAATCCAATTCTCATGTGGCGTTAACGCTATTTCCAATTTTTACAAGAATAACGGTTCATTTCTCCCTTGAAACTTTTTTTTTTTTTTTGTGGGCTAATAATAAATGCATTGGACACAAACTGTAGTGCTGTACAGTAGTACAGATCTCAATAACTAATTTTTAGTTAATGTTTTCAGTTCTTCCGATCCAGTTCCAGAGTATCTCAGAACCTTCTTTGGGTTACAATTTATATAAACAGCAGAAAATCTGAGTTGATTTTGTACTTTGGTTTGGTTCACCTCAACTTCAAAATAAAACCCTCTCTGCAAACTAATTACCTTTGAGCAGAAAACCCATCAGCACCTGGACACTAGCAAATTTTACTCTTAGTCTTTCCAAAAATTGGTTTCAATGGAGACCAATACACTGTTGAAAGCCCGTAGTATTATGTCGGCTTGCTTCCCAAAAACAAAAAGCAAGTAAGTAGCTAAAAAGAATGGAAAGAAATATAAAGTAAATTATCCAGATGACCTCCAAATCCTTCCCTCCAATGAGACCACCATCACATATACATCATCATGGTATTTCCGTCGATCCCCATGAGGAATATCAAGCAGTTCATGGAAGTCCATTCCTACCGACAAAAACGAAAACCCCCTCATTTCATTACCACATTTGAATGAATATCAAATCAGTTCAATTCTATTGGTATCAAACTTTAGTAACTAACTGTGAGTAGTGAGTTGAGTGAGAAACTAACCATTCTTCTTGGCGGCACGGAAAAGAAGCTCTGCAATGAGATATTGTGCAGGATCGCCATCGGGAACGTTTTCCATGAACCACGTCACATGGGCAACTACCTCTTCATTGCTAAAGTACTGGTAGAGCCCATCGGAGGAGAGTACCAAGAACTGATCACTCGACGAAAGTCGATGGTGAATAACATTTGGAATGCAGCTGATATAAGGAGCGTTTCCCACATAATCCACCCGAAACATTTCCAGCAGAGCTTTGTTACAACTTGGCTGCGACCAACGTTTTGTAAAGGGAAAAAAAAAGATACGAGAATTAGCTGCATAGATTGTTTTAAATAATACTGTAAACTTCAGCAGATAAACAACCAAAATTTTCTATTAGCAAGAAGGAAAGATTCAAGTGGTCATGGGAGATTACTTATAATACAAGTACCCACATGTCAGAACAGCGCAACAACCGTCATGGTTTTCAATAAATACAAAAATACACTCATCTAATAACAAGCACGGCCTCGAATGGTGTTCCGCACTGCATTACTAAAATCTCATGCCTGAAAACTTCAAACCTATCAGTCCTTAGAGATGTACGGACTTCATAAAATAAGTATTTTCCTGAACAGCGTCAATTCATCTAAACATCCTCATTTCCACTCCGATTATTTTCCTTGTAGCATCTTCATCTCGGTCGTCATCGTATACCTAACGGCTCCAAATTTTCAGCGACACACGGGAACTGATGCACATGTAAACACCAACACCAATGACAAACAAGAGACATCTAAGGAAAGAAACACCAAAGAAGAGTGCGAGAGAGAGTTTACAGACAATCAGCATCATGATGGTGGAATTAATAAGACTCGTTCAGATTATAAAATAATAAAATAATAATAATTGCTCCAACTAAATATGCAAAAGGAGTGGGTTAAAATAATTGCAGTTAAGGCTGCATTGTCACTTGAATGCTTAAATAAGAAAACTTGTTCAAACTGAATTAACACTATAACGCAAATCATAATACAAGAATAAAAAAACCAAAAAAGTTCCCAAAGTCTTGTTTTTAAGAAAATAACTCAGACAGAAACAGGTCAAAGGTACAAAATGAACTGACCCTCTTCAAGAAACCAGCACCAAAAGCTCTGGTGACTTTTAGTTGTCCCTTCACTCTATCGTTTAATATGGCTTGGTTGTCATCAGGATGTTCTGCCTTTATTCTGGAAACTTCCTAAAATACACAACAATAAAAAAAATATATATATATATATTATAACAGTGTGTTTTATTCTTCAGTTGATCTAATTATGGATTCAAATGCACAAAAGTTAAAGAAAAACATCAGAAAGGAGCAGCAAATAAAATGATAAAATTAAAACTACAAACTAGCAAAGTAACAAAAATTCCGATCCTGGAATCAATAACTTGATTGAATTCAACAATTTAGAAGCATAAACATACCTCCTCAACACTGGTGCTGTGATCAATGGAAAGCTGCACAGCCCTCATCTTTAGCCTGCAGACGGAGATCTCCTTGCTCTTGTTTATCTTGTTAACTTGGGCATTCTGATTATGCATAGGAGACTCCTCTGATATCCGGTCCAGCTCCATACGCACCAATGACTCTCTAGAAGATCTATTCCCGTGCCTCGTGTCATCCTTCACAAAACACTGGTTATTATGACGATCGCTTGGCCTTTCTTGCGCCAATATCACACGGCTATCCCCAAGGTTCATGACATACACATCTTGATCCTTCATTAACATAACCAGTACACATGAGCCCATCAAAGCAAGTTCAGGGTTCTTATCAAGAGCCTCCTCCACCATTTCCATGTAAGCCTCTTCAGTCCTTTCAAGTGCTCGAGCCATCGCTCTTAAAACCAAAGCGTGATCAACACTACTTGATTTGCATCTCCTAGTAGGCCCTATTTGTTCTGCCGGTTTCTCATCAACACAAGTCTCCTCTCTGTGCCAATCGTAACTCCAACGGAAAAGTTTCTTGCGCAAGGATTTCTGCTTTCGGTACATTTTTCTGATCTTGGAACCGAGAAAAAGCAATCCCGGATTCTGCCTTTGCCCTGAAAGAGAAGCAGCTAGATCATCCTGACGACTGCAATCAATCCTTACTCCTGAAGTAGTGAGATCTTCTCCCCGATGGCTAGAACACTCTCCCACGGTATCCAATGAGCTAGAAGATCTTAGCTGTTCCTCTTGTGATGCTTCTCCAGAACCCAAGTAATCTGGAGAACAATGACATGAACCCTTTCTTTGTTCATCAATCAGAAAAGAGCTTTGTCCATTCCAAGGTTCCATCTGAAGTAGCTCGTAAAGCCGCTTGCTCTTTCTGCCTTGACCAGTAATGCTCGCAGTGGGAGTAGAAGCGGCCTCTGAGATGCTTGTTGTTTTAGTGCAATTAACTTGTAGATTCATCCCGCCTTTCTCTTTTCCTTCAACTATCTCAGAGCAAGATGACTCGGACCCGAGATGTCCAGGAGTCCATGATTCTGCCAAGTTACAAGAAGAAATCACTTCACTTGAAGGATCACTGGGTGGCATGTCTGGAGCAGGCTCAGGTATTTCGGCTTTAAGGTGATCAGGTTTGGATGGATCACCGGATGGCAAGTCTTCATAATCCCAGAGAAGTCCTTCCAGTTCCTCATCTACAGCTCTATAAAGGTGGCTCATCAAAAAGTCTGGGGCATCAGGCCCACTAAAGCCATCATATATTCCTATAAACAACCA